TGTGTATCAACTGTGGCAAATGCTACATGACCTGCAACGACTCAGGCTACCAGGTACAGATGCACACTTTAGATAATTTCACGATACGGTGTTTACGGGAAAGCAATTACTAGTGAATTTCATTTGCTAAAATGCGCAAGCTAGCGAATGTTTTCAGATTATATGTTGTCTTTGGAGGTCACCCGATTATAGAGTTCATTCACCACCATTGGCCTTGCATATTGAAAACATAAAGAGACAAACGCAGAGTCTTAAATGAATAAGGCTGGTGTGTGACGAAGGAGGCCAGCTATTTACCTTAGAAAACGACACTGTTGTGCTAGCTGCTGTCATTGTTGTTGCTTTTTTCCCTCCATGAAAAGCTCTCCCAGGAGTGGGAAATCCACCTATGGAGAGTCGATAATTGCTCTAATGTAATAGCTTTTTTTCCCCTCCCCTTCCTCTTCTTTTGCAGGCGATTAAGTTTGACCCTGAGAGCCATCTTCCTGTAATCACGGACAGCTGCACCGGCTGCACTCTTTGCCTGAGCGTGTGCCCCATCATCGACTGCATCAAAATGGTTACCAGGACAACGGCGTACGTGCCCAAGAGGGGCCTGCCTGTTTATCCCGTTTGCTAAAGCGCACCGTCGCTCCACCTGACCGGAGAGAAAGAAAACCAAGGAGCCACGTTTCATTCAAAGCATCGATTCCACTTCTAATTGCTGTGTGAAAAATTACCTTTATTATGAAAACGAATAATTAGCCAGCAGAAATAATTGCCTTATTCCCAAGCCAGTTATGCTAGAATAATTGTGCTGGCAAAAAAAGAGTTGCATTATTTCAAAACAACACAGTGCAATGTTATTTTTTGTCAAAAGTGAGAGGGAGGATTGATTGAGAAAGATGGTGAAGTGCTGTTGTTTTCTCTGGTAAAAATGAATAGCAATAAATAAAATAATAAAGCAATTGACAGTATTGAAGTCTCATTTTCACAGTATTATTTTGAAACTCGGGAAAATTAATTATGTGACTGGTAAGTGATTAATAATAAGCATAATAATTTATAAAGCAGATTTGCTTTGTTTAATGTTTGTTAGTAATTAAATCGCAAGGTTTCCAATGATAAGCAAATTAGTTCCAAAAACATGGTTTTTAAAAAGTACAAGCCATAATTAATTTGAATAAAATATCACTAGACTTATTGTGAGTTTGAACAGTTTCACTCGCAGATTGTTTAGGCTTCTTGAAGAGCAGCTTTAGGTTTAGGCACAGACTGAACAAATCGTTCTAATGATGTTTAGAACGCTTCCTCTAATGTCCCAACTGATTTGTTTTGCAAAACAAAGCATTCATTGGAGCTGATGCAAACACGAGTCTGAGAGGTTTATGCTGAGTCTCTGTTGTGTTGATATGATCTTCCTATAATTGTTACATCTGCGAACAAACATCCGATTGGGAGCAGTGGACAAGACGGTAGACGGAGTTAATTAAAATGCTATCGTTTTCATCTCCGAGATGCAGACCGCTCGTTGTAGTTCCGTGTTTGAAATGCAAGAAAACGCTGCTTTTGAAAAACAGCAGCCAGACATGTCAGAGTTATTTCATCATTTATTATAACCGCACAATAACAAGGGATTAGAACGAAAACCGGGCCGCCATAAATCTAAAGTTTGTACTGGAGCTCCATTAATTTGGCCACGACTTAGCTTGCTTTGTAAAAATGTTTGCCTTTGAAAAATTAGCAACCATGCCAGGCACGATGAGAAGGTTCAGCAAATTTACTGAAGTCCCTTAAGCACGCTCATTATTAGCTGCCAGAACTGCATTTACAGATATTTTGTCAAAGATTGTAAAGTTTAAGGGACATTCTACCAGAAATGTACATTATCTGTCCTTGATTTGTTACAGTGAATACAAAGTATTACATCCAAAAAATGTCTAAAACGGACTGATGGTTGATTTCTGTGTGTTGTTCTGTAAAGGAATATGTCATTCATTAGGTTCTCAGATATTTTTGAATTTATTAAAAACACTTTTGAAAATTACAAATCCTGTCCTTGTCCTCAGTGTTTGCTAAACGTTCTGTAATTTATTAGTCATTATATAATACAGCATGTGGTGTATGCCATGCCTTATCATCTTATTCGTATCATCTTATTCGTTTTTGTTAATAAACGTTTTGTACGCTCATTGTATCTTACTGTTTTATTGTTGTTGTGCTTTTTAGGGACATTCTACCAGAAATGTACATTATCTGTCCTTGACTTGTTACAGTGAATAAAAAGTATTACATCCAAAAAATGTCTAAAACTGACTGATGGTTGATTTCTGTGAGTTGTTCTGTCAAGGAATATGTGATTCATTAGGTTCTCAGATATTTTTTAATTTATTAAAAACACTTTTGAAAATTACAAATCCTGTTCTTGTCCTTGTCCCCAGCCAAATTGGACCTACAGCTTTCATAGTTTTGTTATGCTAAAAACTGTCAATAACATCAATAACAAGTTTAAGTTGTTATCATTCACATCAACTGATTAAAAACATGAAATTATACATAAATTCTACAAATAAATATTATTTTACAACTGTCCCTATGTTTTCGGTCAGTCCTGTCACGTTTACATAAAACTCAACATAAAATGTGTGTAATGCGTCTTAAAAGGTATGACTCAAAGGAAGTGACATAATTTGACTGAGGTGAAGCTGACACTGATCAAGGGTGAGTTCTGTCATTGAATTGTATGATTTTAAGCTTGTTTTTGTATGTGTTTTTTGAGGAGGACGAGCTAAAGGGTCAGGCCCTGTCAATTTTTTTCAAATCCAAAACATGTCTCAAAAAGTTACTGAAATTCCTCGATTGCATGTTAACAGTTTTTATGCTAGCAGGCTGAGTAATGGCAGTTTAAAATGGCCGACCGTCAGGCCCTGTCACATCAGGCCCTGTCACATCCCTGTGTGACAGGGCCTGACAGTCCTGTGCCACTGCCTTAAAAATGAATGGCATTGTTGTTTTTTATTACCTTTATTGCATATAATATGTATTTAACGCATGCCATAGTAAAACATTATTTGAATAAATAGACATTAAACTGTAAATCTGAAGCTTTTTATGCTCATCGACAATTTTTTTAAATTTTATCCCTCTTTTACCTAGGCCTATGTAGCACTGCACTTTGTATATTAATTATATTTCAGCATCTCTTCCCCCGCCTGTCATTTATACATCACTGTGCATCAACCTACTTCCTCCCTCTGATTGCAATTAAGAAATGATGTGTCTGGACCCTGGCCAGGGGTGCCAGGTTAAATTATTCATAAATGTTAATAAGACAAGCGAGAGCACTCCCTCTTTTCCTCCTCCTGCTCCCCTTTCTAAGTGCCGTATTAGAAAAATAATATTGACCTTTACATCGTAACGCCCACATCTGACATCGGGAAGCTGCCGCTCTGTCATAATGTCCATGTCTTTTTGAAAAGCACACAGAGACGGGCTCTACCTCTCTGACATATATAGATCTGCATGAGCGTGATGTACTCAGTGCTTATTTAAGTTGAGAACAAGCAAAGAAAAAAATCTGCAGCCTATAAATCTCTATTAAAAAGCAATGGTGTGATCATAATGTCATAATTCTACAAATATTCACAGGGTTTTCTAATAGCTTCTGTAATTCTGTAATCATTTACTTACCCTCATGCCATTCCATATATATATACTCCATACACCATACTGACAAAGCAAAAACAGAATTGTCACAACTTCGTGAATTTATAAAAAAAATTTAAAAAACTGAAATAAGTACATTGCATAAGTATTCATAACTCAGTACTTAGATGAAGCACCTTAACAGCCTCAAGTCTTATTTGTTTGATGTGACAAGCTTTGCTCATCAGCATTTGGCAATTATCTGCCGTTCTTCTCCTCACCTCTTCACCTCTCAAGCTCTGTCAGGTTGGATGGGAGC